CTTCAGAGCAAAGACGAGCCCTGGGCAGGGATGTTATCTCGTGTCCGAGCACAGACACTGACACAGAGGGAGAGCTGGGACGGGTGAAACCCAGAGCCAACCTCGTCTCACAGCGCAGACTTGCCAGCGATGTGAGCCAGTGCGGTGGCTGTATGGCTTCATGGGCAGGCTGGCTGGAGGGGGCCATGGGGCATCTGTCTCTCTCTGCTCCCCCACTCTGAGGGAGACTCTCACCAACAGGAGACCAGCTGAACCACGCTTTGGCTGCCCAGGTCCTTGAAGCCTCCCAGGATGGAGGCCCTCTCTGGGTGACATATCCTAGTTCTGCACCACCCTCCTGGTGAAGTTCATCCCTGTGACTGACCTAACTATCCAAGCTGTAACTTGTGGCCCTTGCAAAGTCATCTGGCACTTCCAGGAGGAGTTCACCTCTATTGCCTCTCTCCCTGAAAGGAGAGTCACTGGCCATTATCCCTTTGCTTCTTCCTTGCCAGCCTAAACAAGCCCGTCTCCCTCGTAGGCTCTGGGTGGTAGGTCCTGGCCATGTCACCCGTCCTCCATCAGACCCAATCCAGTTTTTCAGCATCCCTCTTGAACTGAGAAAATCAAAAGAGGACAATGCTTCAGGTATGGACTCAGAAGCACCAAGCTGCTTCTGTGAGAAGCTGCTAGAAGCTTTCCCTGTGTCCAATAGAGCCAATGTCAGCTGGCTCCAAGATAGACCTGCCACTGGCCAAGGAAGAGTCCCCCAGCGACAGTGGTAGAGCTTCTGTGAAAACATATTTAAGAAGGAGGGAAGAAAAACCAACTGGGCAACAAACTGCAGCCAGGAGAGACGAACATGACTATGTGAGAGAAACAACTATGCAGACATCAAGGTCAGTGAAGGAGGGAGAGGAGGTGCTCCAGGTGCTGGAGCAGAGATTCCCCTGCAACCTGTGGTGAATACCATGGTGAGGCAGGCTGTCCCCCTGCACCCCATGGAGGTTAATGGTGGAGCAGAGATCCACCTGCAGCCCATGGAGAACCCCCTGCGGGAGCAGGTGGGTGTTCAAAGGAAGCTGCGAACCTATGGGAAGCTCACGCTGGAGCAGGCTCCTGGCAGGACTGATGGCCCTGTGGAGAGAGGAGCCCACGCTGGAGCAGGTTTGCTGTCAGGACTTGTGACCCTGTTGGGGACCCACACTGGAGCAGTCTGTTCCTGAAGGACTGCAACCCTGTGGAAAAGACCCATGCCAGAGCAGTTCATGAAGGACTCATGTTGGAGAAGTTTATGGAACACTGTCTCCTGTGGGAAGGACTCCATGCTGGAGCAGGGTAAGACTGTGAGGAGTCCTCCCCTTGAGGAGGAAGGAGAAGCACAGACAACGTGTGATGAACTGACCACAATCCCCATTCCCCATCCCTTCATGATGCTCAGAGGGAGGAGGTAGAGAATTTGGGAGTGAAGTTAAGCCTGGGAAGAAAGGAGGGCTGGGGGGAAGGTGTTTTTAAGATTTAATTCTTATTTCTCATTATCCTACTCTGATGTGATTGGTAATAAACTAATTTTTTTTTCCCCAAGCCAAGTCTGTTTTGCCCATGACCATAACTGATGAATGATCTTTCCCCGTCCTCATCTCGACTCACAAGCTTCTTATATTTTCTCCGTCCTGCCCAGCTGAGAAGGGGAGTGACACAGCAGCTTTGGTGGGCACCAGGTGTCCAGCCAGGGTCAACCCACTGCACTCCTCTTTCTAGCCATCAGGGAACAAAGGGGAAGGCACTGGCTGCCCTGAGGGCTGTGCCCCTCCACACATGCCTCTCGCAGCTCCCACCTGAATGCCAGGTGTCCTGGCACAGCCTGCTGCCTGTGACGGCTCCTTTCATGCCCCAGGACCCCACAGGGGGGGCATCCCCTTAGACTCAGGGTACAGGGGGCAGAAGGGTGCTGGGGGACACAGAGAGACGCAGCGGTAGGGGAGGAAGAGCCCTGCCAAGCGATGCACTGGAAGGCAGCCCCGGTGACCCACTGGGAGTGACTTGCAAGGGGAATGACTTTGGCGCTGGCCAGGCTGCGCACTCGTCATGGTTCATTTGCTACGGGAAGCAGGGAGTGATTAATTTGGCAAGCTTCTACGCTGCAACTGCACGGGGTTCATACGCCCCTGCGAAATGGCAGAGGGCACCATGCAGCCTTGATCTGCAAATCTATATGCCACCCACTTGTCATCATTAAAGTTCACTGGATATGCTAGGTAAAGGCTATAGTGTTTAGCTTGGACTAATGTGCTCTCTGGCTTTTTCTTCAGCTGGATATGAAAAAAGCCTGCTCACTTCATACCCTAAATTCTTGCATAGTTCTGCATGGCAACATCATTTACCCTGACTGCCCCATCTTCCACCTCCAGCCAACCTAATCATGGTACATATAAATGCCAGATGAAAAACCGCTGGCTCCCCAGCAAGTCTGAGAGCACCAAGAGCCTTTAGGATGGGAGATGCTACGAGGTTACAACATAGCATTTCGTATTACAGGAGCTGAAAGTTGCCTACCAGTTTTTTACCTCCAGCCCCAGCTCTAACCCCCACTTGCCAGTCCCGAGAACGAGTCGGTGGGCTCAGGAACGTGCTGCAAGGCCGACATTTAGCACCACACTCCAGTTCACTTGCAGCTGAAGCCGGGCAGACAGCAGCTCGTGTGCCGACTGCAGGCAGAGCAGCACAGGCTACGTTTGCTGGTGGTGAAAACATCAATGAATGCAAGTTGGAAGGAGAGGCCAAGTGCACAGAGCTGATCCAGGTTACCCATGTTTGACAACCACAAATTGGGATGAGAAAATGTCTTTTCAAAACCCTTTTAACACATTCACCTTTGAGAGCTTTCAACAAAAAGACAAGGCGGGAATGTTAAAGGGTCAAACTCCGGGTGTTTGCTTGTTCTTTCCTCAGGCAAACCCTCATTGATTGACCGTGGGAAGGGTGAAAGCTGAGCACAACTGACAAAGGAGTCCCACTGCTAACAATGAAGCATGCAGCCTCCCGGCAGAGATTGATGTCAATAGACAAAGCTCTTCCAAATATACCTCGCTCTCTGCCTGCTGCACACTGCCAAAAACAACAGTCTGAGGGGCTGCTGGTTGCCTACCACTTTTAGAGCCAGCACCTTCCTCCAGCAGCAGGACTAGCAGTCGCATGGCTGGATTTTGGAGAGACGAAAGAACAGGCATGGCAGCTGAGAGCAGGCTGAGGGCTCAGCAGTCAATGCAAACGTCAGCTGTGGAGAGCCTCTCCATGACGAAGGATTCTCTGGAAATGAGGGATATGATCAGAGTCTCACTGTGGGATGAGCTTTCATGCACAGATGTTGGTGACACCCAGACCATGCCCTGGTCAGTATATCCAGACATGGACAGGCAAAGGCATTAGAAGGGGCAGCTACAAGATGAGGATATGCACTCAGTGATCACTGCTAGAGGGTCTCCTGGACTTCACTGGGTGCACCGGGCCAATTTTTTGAGCAGAGCTCTACTTCTGAGGAGAACAAGATGGGCCCACCCACACTGGCCAGCCTACAAGCTCTAAGTGCCTAAGCAAGGCACTGATTCAGCCAGACTGCTCACATGAGTAAAAATTACTCATGAACAGGCTGCAGGACCAATATTCCAGGGCCCCTATGACTCCTTGTCAACTCAGAAGTCTCGTCACTGCAATTACCACCACTCCATTCCCTAACGTCGTCACGCAACCCATAAGTCAGGGGAATCTCTGACCTGTCATTGCACAGGTTGGGGGGGACAAGCTTTGAGAAGACATTCAGTCTTGCCAGAGTTTCTTTTCTTGCTCTTAGCAAAGATGGGAGAGCACATCACTCCTGCTGCTGTCCCCATAGTAGGAAGGATTCAGAGAGCTAACGCCACAGTCAGGCAATTGACTGCACAGGAGACCAAAAACCCATATTCCGTAATTCCCCATCCACAACTCTGCCCATCACACACCACTTCCCGACAGTCCTGAGCCAGCCAGCTGTCTCTACACACTTAGGCACAACACACTGTCATAAGCCACACTCCGTAGTCACTAACTCATCATGCCCAAGCACACCTGCAGTCAGGTACCTTTTCTGGATTACAGCCCTTCCCTCTCCCACACAGCCAGCAAGAGTTGGTTCCTCAAGCACTGATACATGCACTCACCCACACCCTGCCTCCTGCTTCCCCTCCCACGCAAATGGACTTACTGCAAGGTGGAGTCTTGCACCCCTGCAAGCTGGGAAGAGCACATACTCTTCTTGTGGCTTGCTCTCAGGCACAGTCTGGTACCTGAGTAACAACCCTCAGCTTAGCAAGCCTGCTGGCAGTAAAGGGACATTCCCATCCTGTCCTTTGGGTCCCCTTTTACCAAGACAGTTTATGAGAAAGCTGAAATGATCTGAGCAGTCACCTCCATCCACCCATCTTGGCTGCAGGAATCCTCACAAGCAGCAGGGACGTCTCCTAGGATCCCAAATACAGCTCACATAAAAGAGGCTTCTGGGTGAGACTTCCTGGTAGCCGTCCCATAGCTGCAGAGTCAGAGCCATCAGACCTGTCACTTGCACCACCGAGCAAGTGGCGGGTTTTCATCTGAGGCAGGAGCAGTGAAACGTCACTGGCAGTGACAAGGGGAAATGCTCAGTGCATGGCACGGGGATGGTGACGTCTCACAGATGTGCTGCTCCCGCAGGCAGGGAGGAGGCAGGCTCAGCGTGGATCTGGGTGGCAAGGAGTGGTGTGTCCTCCCAGCAGAATGGTGACCGCTCCTCCATCCCATCCCAACACATATTTATCGCAGCACCAGAGGACGCAGTTGTGGAACAAACCTCTCAGGAAGAGGAAAGACCAAGAGGTCATTTCGTTTGGCTTGCGAGGAGTTAAGAGCCCTGCCTGGCATCACTCACTCAGCGGGGAAATGGAAGCAGCAGCGAGGTTAGAGGCCCAAACATCACCCAGTGTGCACAGCCAGGCATCCCTCCCCCAAAGGTCTTTGATACAACACATTTATTTTGCTGAGTGGCAGTACTGTACAGTACACATACATTACCAGTAGTTTCAGAGCCCTGAGTTGTCATTCCTCCTGACTTCCCTGAATTTCAGAAAAGAGGCAGGACCACTGTCCCCTTCCCCCAGTTCACCTGCAAGGAAACAGGTCAGGAAAAAATAAAAAAAAAACCAGAGGCACTTGCTAACAGGCCTGGATACAAACTTCAAAGCCGGACTCCCAGTCTACCACTCTCACTGTTAGGGTCCCCTTTCCCTGGTGCTGGGAGAGGAAGCCCTAGTGCCAGCTCTCCACAAGGTCTCACTCCTCTGAGAAACTCTCTGCACATCTGAACAGAAATAAGAATAAGGAGACTGTAAAATCTAATATAAACCCTATTGGATTTTAAAAGGACTTACCACCTCTCTCTGACGGCCTGAGAAATGTTTTGGGGCATTCTAGGCAGGGTTGGTATTCTCTTAAATTCTTTAAGACTGTTTGAAAAAAAGTCAAGGAGAGGCTTTTGCTTTCAGTGCAGTCCCACTGGAATCTGAGTGGAATTTCCCCTGCTCAGACAGGGAAAGAAAGTACCCTGCCCTTCCTGACACATGGGTATCCTGCATCTCCTTTTCCTAAACCATGAAACGGCAGAGCTCCGGTACCAACTCCACCTCTCAGCACCACAGAGAAAGCTAATGCTGTAACAGGCAAGGACAGTGCAGCTTGTAATGTGGAACAAGACCCAAAAATAGCCCACAGAATAGACAGAAACAGTCAGAAAGGTAAATGTGCTGTGGAGAGCAGAAAGGAGGGAGGGAGCACCCAGGCCTCTCCCACCAGTTCATGTCAGTACATGGAATGGTGCATCCGGCTCAGGAGAGCAATGACCCAGTTCCCCAGCTGGGACCCCTTTAGCCACAGGAAGAGTTCATACAAGTTGATTTGCCACAGGCTCAGGGCTTCTGTGAGGGAGATCTGGGCCCTTCTATAAAGCGAGTGACTCTTGCTCCTCTGGTACCTAGAATGAGAGGAAACAGATGCATTAAGTTTGCCCGGCAGGAAGGAGGGAAGAAGGCCTGTCCTACATCTTCAGTACAACTGACTCTTCCCCAGGGGAGGGGAACATCCCGTTTCTGGAGAATCACCATCAGTGGGGACCCCTGGAATCAGGGATTTTCTCCAAGGAATGTTCCTGAGCAGCTGGGGACTGCCTTCCTAGCACAAATCTGGCAGAAGAGACAGCCTGCTCCCTTGTGAGCCCCATTCTCTCCCCACTGCACGTACTGACTCTGGGCCATGGCATCCTCTGCTTCTATGTGCAGCTTCACGTCAGCTAATAGAGACAGGTGCACACCCCTACAGCCCTTCCTGGTAGCACACTCATAAGAGTCCAGCAATCCTGACACACTGATTCCAAGAAGAGTAATTCTCCACCTTTCTTTAGAAGAAAAAGTTAACTGGGCTTCGTAGGTCCCTCATCAGCCAGAGAAATAACTGTTATTTCTTCTTCACGGAGGAGGAATCTGAGGCAGAAGGGCATTGACTCACAAGACTCACAGATAGAAATCACTTGTGCAACTCCCATTGCTGGCTTTCAAACATCAGCCTGATCTTCATAGTCAGCCCTAGCCCCTCAATCAGGCTGCAGAAACTGGCAGCCGTGAACTTCCAGATCTTTCCTACCCACAAATACTTCCCAGTGTTGATACCTGTAATGGGCAGGAAGCCCCTTCCTCTCCTCCGGAGGAACCAAACTCTAAACCTTTACCCTAAGGGCTCCAACTCCATCCCTGTCCCCAGCCACAGGGTGACAGACCTGTCCTCTGGAGAGGCTGATGGGCATAAGACCAGGAGAGGCAGAGGCTGAGGTATGTAACTGAGCAGGGGTAGAACTACAGGAGATGTGCTAATGAGGGAGAGAGGTCCACAGTTAAGAGTAAGAGGTCAAGTTAGGCCTTGCCAGGGCCCTGAGTGGGGGGGCTCTAATAAGCCTTAATGGCTCTGACTAGCCTGGCACCTCCCCCAACCCTCTGCTCATGGGCTCAGGAGCTACAGTTAACTTCAGGCCCGCACCTTCAGTCTCTGCCTGAGCTACACTGGAGGAGTAATGGTCTCCAGCTCATGCTGTGCTGTGAAGTCCCTTGACCTGGACCTCAGCTCACACACTGACCTCCTGGCTTGACCTCAGCCCTGTCTTGTCACCATGGACCTTCCTGACAACCACTGGACCTGATCTACAGAATTTCTGTTTTGACCTTGGACCTGCCCTGTCCCCATGATGTTGCATTATGATATAGACTTTTGATTGGCCCTGACCACCATTTCAAGGTCTGCCCTGCTCACCGTGCTCAGCTACTGTGGGACTGGGCCCTGGCCATGGGTATCCCCCCTAGATTCTGGGCTCCAGGGGGAGCCAGCCCCTGCTGCTCCATGTCTGGCCTCTAGTGCCTGGAGAAGAGACTCACGTGGAAACAGCTCTGATGCAGCAGCGAGACATGTTGAGGAAGGAGCTGGCACTGGCCCGTGTGTGCAGGGCTGACTCAATCCCCCTTAACAAGTCATTGGTCTTCAGCAGCAGCAGCATCTGGCGGGGGACGTTGTTGAGGAGCTGGGTGATCTGGGGTAGGTAAGCAGCAGCGTTGGACCGGATCTCCACATCCTGCGGCCAGCCGGGTCATGTCAGAGAGAAAGGAGAGAGAAGCTGAGAGTGCATGGGAAACCCAGGTCCAGATGAAGATGAGATTTAGCAGGAGGAGACAGTGTTTTTCCAGACCATGACTCTAGGCCAGAAGCTATCTTTGTCCTGCTTTCCTGCAGACACCTGGCTGTCCCAAGCACTCACAGCACAGTCATAGATCACTTTTGCCATATCCCACCTGCCCCTCAGGGAGATAAGGCCCTGGCTCTTCACTGGTAGGATTAACAGCCTCTTGAGAGAACAAGGCACTCACTGCTATCTCAGCTCTTGGCCTCAGGCAGCCTGCAGCAACCAAGACTCGATAGCTCCCTTGCAACCTTCTGACTGAGCCTCACCTCACCAGTCCCAAAGCTGGCAGAGCTGCAGGCAGCACAGGACTGCTAGGGAAGGTAGAGGCATGCAGCAAGGACAACCAGGCTGCCCATTGTCTCGCTGTGTCATGCCACCGATGGCTTTATGCTATACTGATGAAGCTGTTTCCAAGGCCTAGTTTAGTCTTCTGTCCTCAACACAACTCAGCAGAGGTGAGAAAGCATTACGCAGTTAAGCGTCATGCTAACCCAAAAGATCAAAAACTGTCATCTGTCAGACTAAGGGTCTGTCTAGACCCATATCCTGTCTGGCAGCAGCCAGTAGCAGACGCTTAAGGAAAGAGTGTAAGACCAAGGCAGACACAGAGTGATCCTTCATGTTCCTTGGTTCCCCAGCCTCCAACAAACACACTGCCCACGGTAAGATCCCAGTGATAACTGATGGGCTACAGCCTGAGCCACCATAACATGCAAGGCAGCCAGACCCCACTCTTCTGCCTCCTTTAAAATCTGGCAGTTCCCCCAGCATCCTAGTAAATGTAGGACACTGTGGTGTGAAGCTGATCCCATACACGTAACCGTGTCCCTACCTCTTCCTACAGAGGCCATGACATGAATCAGCAAATCCAAATAGAAAGTCCCTGGAACATTTGAAATCTCCAGAATTCAGGAGGACATATGCAGAGGGCAGTAAGTGACTTCTTAGAAGAGGGAGGCTCCTTTGTGGGAACGGACGGCTCTAAAACCTTCTCTCCTCTGGAACGAGGGACAGATGGCCTATATTTCACGACACGAGATCTCACACTCACTCTTCGTGAACTTCAGACTTAAAGATCTACACAAATTGAGTGTGCGGTCATGATGGTCAGAGATGTATACAGCTCACACACTACCATGGTTGCTTTGCTTCTGACAAACAGATCTTTGTGTCCCCCTGCCTCCGTCACTGACCAAATACACAAAGCTTCAGCAAGAAGATGCTTAGCTCCCCTAAATGTTAAATGTTTTGTTCCATTATTTGTTGGCAGAAAATTCATCCCTGATTGTCTCTTACCCTTTATCCTAGCCAGCATCACTGCAGAACCTACTTTATTTTCTACACATAGGTTTTCTTTTGTATTTATTTTTATTTTTAGCTCCAGCTGCTCGTCCACATCACAAAACAACCACATGATCTGTCATCAGAACTGTCGTTTTCTGTCAAGGGCAAAGCCTGTGCGCAGAGGAAGAAATGAGCTATGCCACAGGACCTGAGAAAAGCCCCTTGGCTGCAATCGCTGAGGCTGCTGCAGGATGCAGCAAAACACAGTCATAAAATCAGATGAGCTGAGGCTAGCAGCCACCCTGAGTGGTCAGCTGCCTGGCCTTGGCTTAAGGCAGGAACAACACACCTGTGGCAATCCTCACACATTTGCCTAGCATGCTCCTAAAACTCTCCAGTGATGTGACTCTCAGCCTCCCCAGACCATCCACACCAGCATTTCACTGGCCTTGCCATTAGATCCGGCTTTTCTCAAGTTTAACCCCAATCTCCTTACCCGAATTTAAACCCATTACTTCTTGTTCTGTTTGCAGCAGTCTTTAACAGATTTGAAAACCACTACTACAAGTCTTCTTGACCCACGCTCCTCTAGACTTTTTCTGCCCTCGCTTGCTCAGACTTACCACATGGGTTGTACCTGCTTGACCACTAGTCCTTGTAGCTTCCTACTGGACTCACCTCAGTTTCATCAAACCTTTCTTGAGATGCAGTGCTTCAAGACTGGACATAACACTACAGATAAGAATTTGTTTCAGGAGGGTTGCTCCCTTGTCTCACAGCCTACTCTCATGTTGATACATCCTCAAGTGCACTCTCCAGAGCTCTGCGCTGATGGTACCTGCCTACACAGCGCTTGGCTCTTGCTGCTGATAAAATCTTTCAGATTCACCTCTAAACTAAGGGCAAGCAGCAGCTCATTTCCTAATGCCACAGCAAATCCGCTCAGCTCCCCATTATCTGCTGCAGGATTATCCAGTTTCAGCATCAACTGTGTCATATAGGCAAAGACAAGAGAGCTGGCTTCATACAAGCAATTCAACTCAATGATAAAGTTCACTAGCCCACACAAGGCACCATGCAGCCGCAGTTATACCTCTGGCATAACCTCCACAAGCCAGTTTAGCATAAACATTGCTTACTAGCTCAGATTCAACACTGGCCTTGTAGTATTGGAGCCAGCTCTGTGTCAATTCGCTTTGGTGCCTCTGAATCTTTTTCTGGAGCTACCAGCTCCAGAACTCATCAGATCAAGCACAGATCTGCTACACAGTCACTATATTATTTCTGATATGCAGAAAATTAACTTAGGTAGGAAGAAATCAAATTACTGGAGAGGGGTGTCCATTACCCAAAGTATCTGACCTGCTCATTGCTATGGATAATGGCATGCCAGTGCAGCAAATTCTGCCACATCTATCAAAAAGAAATGCCAACTCGAAGGAATTTCCAGAAGAGAATTTCACAGGACATCACAACACTACTTAAATTAATTTCATCCTCTCTACTACAAATGCATGCAGATAAAAACAAACCATAGGATACAACATGTTTCTACCTACAGGCACTAGTCCATTGGCTGAAATCACATCACTTATACACTCATCTCTAAAAACAGCACAGTTAGCAGGGGCTGCTACTATTCTTAAGGCAGCATGTGCGTGTCAGGAGTGCGAGGAGGCGTGAGAAGGCTCCCAGCATGTGTGGATAGGAAAGGGTGGAGAATGTAAGTGGCAATTTCCTAGATTTGTAGTGATTGAGTTGACAGGATCTGCAGTTAAGCAACCTTGACTCCAAGTTAATAGGGTTTCTGATTGGGAGGTAATTTCCAAGGATTTTTAGGAGTTTGTATCAGTGCTGATAGTCATTTACATGAATAGTGATAATGCATTATCCTTCTCATGTCTTCCCACTAAGCCTTTACATCTCCTCTACCTTAACCTATCCTCCTTGATGGTTCCCTACCCTGCTGCATTCAACACTTTTTTAAGAAAAGGCTGATCTACAAATGTTTTCCCTGCCAGAATTGGTCAACATTTAGCTATTAAAACATTAGACAAAATTTAAGCAACCCATGACAAGTGAAACTAGGAAATTAAGTTCAGCCACTATAAAACAGATTGTAGAAAGAGTCCTGGCTTTTTCTAGCTCAGCTATCAATGCAGAATTTGCTACAGAGCTGCCAGGGGTTGCCCAGCATCGCTGCAGTATCAGTGGTGCAAGTGGTTACAACAAAGAAAGGTACTTGAGGAGAAGCAAGGGCACAGGATAGGGAAGGACACACTGGACCTACCTCACTGGCTGAGACTGGTGACCGGTCAATGCCTTTGTTGACAGACTCCCAGGACCTGGCAGTGAGCATGCAGGCGAAGAGAGGGTACAAATCCCCTGCCCCGAGCCGCCGGCTGTACTTCTGCACCCTCTTCATATCGGCCTTGATGAGGGCCTGCCAAAGGCGGCAGTAGTCCATGCGGAATGACTCGCTCAGCACCTGGAGAGGGAGACATGGCCCCCAGAAGACCACGGAGGACAGAGAACTGAGGGGGAAAGGTTTTTGCCTCCTAGCAGTGCCCTATCCCCCATTTCAGAGTCAGGAAATACCCTCAGAGGGTTATGGGAGTAATAGGAAAAAGTATTCATATGGGCTTAGAGGGACAAGGCTGCAGCTGGGTCTGCTCTTTCAGCCTGATGCCCACAGGCAGCCTCACAAGGCCCTGGAAGCCCCCCATAGCTACGTACCTGGTAGAGCCCATGGTCCAGGAGGATAATGTGGGCCTTGCCAGAGGCTGGGCATTTCTTCACTAGCACGTTGCCTGGGTGCGGGTCGCAGTGCACAAAGCCATTCACAAAGATCATCTCACTGTAGAGCTTCCCCAGATTGCGAGAGATCTGTGAGGAGACAGGAGATGGTCACACACTGCCATCCACACCAGAGTGCCTGCCAGGAAGGGCAGGCAGCCCCTGTGTGATAACACTGCAGGGAGTGAGGGTCTGGTGTGTGTCGATGTCCCCATGCAGAGCTCTTGCAGCTCCTCACACTGACAAATGCACAAGGTGGCTGCTGGCATCTGCTGCAGGGTGACCTGGGGCATTCAGGGAAGGATCCATGCTGGGGGCACCATGAAGGCACCTGTGGGGTCAGGGGTTATTTAAGGACACTTGCCTGGCACAAAAAAGAGAAAATACTTGTGGGTAGGAACGGGGTTTCTGATAATGAGGAGACAGCAGGTAGGGGCAGACAGGCATTCACAGGGAAGGCATGGAAAGAGCCTTTCCATGGGAAAAAAGCCACCCACAGGGATGGGTGAGAGATGGCTTGGAGGAAGACTCTGGTGTTTCAATCCATGGATGGCAGCAGGACCCAGCAGAGAAGGGGTAGGAGAAGACTCAGCCTGTCCATCTGCTTACCAGAATGAACATGGGTTCCCTCTCCCCTCCCTCCATCACACTGTCCCCCACTTTCCCCCTTCCCTTCCTCAGACCCATGCTGATTTGTGATGTCTGTGAAGATTAAGCAACACAGAAAGGCTGTTTAAATCATCCTGTCACTGCTGTGTCCCTCCCTGCCGCTGCTCCTTATCACTAAGAGATGTTATTAAAGTTAAAAACCTCCTAGGAGCAAGCAAACATCCCCAGGGCCTGGGATCAATCCCTCACCATGCACTAACACAGTAGCTTCGCCCTGACATCTCACCACCAGCCGTCCCTGCCATCAGAGAGCAGCACGGTGCTCCACAGGGGAGTGCTGAACAAGCAATTAAAAGACAATCGTTATAAATGATTCCAAGCATGTCCCCAGACACACAGAGTAAGCAGCAAACAGGCAGCTGTCCCCATAGGCGGAGGTGGTAAAAGTGGTAACGGGGATACTAACGACAGCTCATCCTGCAGAAAGGAAGACAGCCATGGAAGGGCTTGCTTTACCCACCTCTGAAACGTGGCCACCTCTGAGAAGAGCATTCATTATGAATAGTGCCCAAGTAACTACAAACGAGGAGAAAGAATGGGAACCTTTCCTGCAGCACACGAACACAGACAGCTGTGGGACCCAACCCTCCATCCACTCAAGTAGGACCTGGAGACACTGCTGAGTCATGGAGAATGCTGCCCTCATGCCAAATCATCCACACAGATGGCACAGCACGGCCCTGCAGTCTTCTGTACTGCAGCTCTCCTAATGCCACACAGGTGTTATTGAAAGTACTGCCTGAGGGGAATGATGCCTCCCTTCTGAATCACCAGGAGAGATCACTGGAGCAATGAAGTGACTCTTACAGGTCTCCCAGATTAACAAGCTCTAAAATTGGACAGGACCAAAGTAGCAGGTGCTATGACTTCTCAGAAGAGCTGAGTAGCACTTGCTGACAGTTCAAAGACATGGCAGATAGTCTGTTTTAAGCCAGTCACTCATTCACACAGCCTCCCAGGGACCTGCACACCAGGAGAAATGGACTTGGATATCATGACTGATCATAGCATCAACCACACACGTTCATACACTGAGTGAACTGCATTTTGCTTTCTCTGCCTGAGCTATTTCCCCTCCAGGGACCTGGAAGAGCACAGAATTATTAAAGATGAGGACTTGGGGACAATCTGGGGCACACAACGTGATGCCTCATAGCCATTAAACACAAATCCAGACAGGGGATAGCAGTTCTGCAAACCTTTTGGTTGGTCATGGCTAAAACCCAGAAAGCTATTAATCTGGGGCACTGAAGTACGGGCTGCTTCAAAGACAGCAGATTCTTCTTTGGTGCTGCAGTAATGGCATAGGCGGGGAAAGTTAAGCAGTGGAACAAGTTGCCCAGACAGGTTGTGTGATCTCCATCCTTAGAGGTTTTAAAGGCCTGACTGGATCATCGTGAGCAAACTGGTCTGACCTCATAACTGACCCTGTCTTGGCAGGAGGTTTGATAGGAGACCTCCTGAGGTCCCTTCTAATCACAAATATTCTAGGTTCCTACAAAAACACCTCTCACCAAGTTATCCTCACTACTGTCATAACAGCCTTATGGTATGGCTGTAGGGTCCACGTGCAGGGAAGGTCTCCCCTCCTGAGTCACCATCAGCAGACAGGTCACTAAACAGATCTGTGGTCATAGACTTTCGCAGCCCACGAAGCAACATAAAAGAAGCTCGGGATTCATCTTCCCATCTTACCATGAAAACGGAGGGGTCACAGCCCTGTTCAGACCCACAGGCTGGGTCATGGGTACAAGACAATCTTCACTACAAGATGCCCATCCTCTCTCCCTTTCCTGCTGTATTTATATTCACCTCTTCCCCAGCATGCAATCTTGAGTATCTGCGGTAGTTAAGTCATTGAAACTAGATTTTATGGCTTCTTTAAAAAAGAGGAAAGCATTCTGTACAATTTAGTTAGCATACGGAAGATATGTTACAGGGATTTATGATATAAGCATACAAACAGTCTTTACTTTCGGAGAAAAAAAATACCATGGTGTAAGAGACGGAGCTGTGCTGCACACTAAAGTATTTTTGCGTATTTTTGTTTGTTGACGTATCTCTAAACTAGGATAAAAAATAAATTAAGATAGAAAACACCAATACTGTTGAATTCTAAACAAAAAAGGATGGTTATATTTCTAGGGCTTAGAGTGTAATATGTGAACAGCGACCTATCATTATAAATCAGACAAAAGGAGTTCATGTTTCTAGAGAAAAAGTTTAGGGAAAAAAACATGAAACCTTTATATATATTAATTCTCCAGTACTATGCCCCATCTTACTTCACCCTCATTGAGAAGGCCACTGGATCAATAACATACACAGAATTCACTTTGGAAGAATGCAGTTAGGTGAAATGAGAAAACAAACGTGTGGAAACCTCTGCTCAGGAGAAGGGAAGAATTCAGCATGCATTTAGGCTGTGTAAGACCTCAGGGTGAAGGTGCATCGCAGATTAGACAAAAGGTTGCAGTGATTTACAGAAGCAAAGACGAAAGTAAACACACAGGCATTTTGTTATGACATGGAGAGGTCACCATTCCTTTCCCTGTTTATCATTCAACACAATGAGGTCCTTATCATTACCAGGGTCCTCTAGCATTGTTCTGCTGCATGTCATAAAAAAATAATAATCACCCTTGGAATCCTGCATTCACTTCCAGACACCTCATTAACAGAGTGATGCAGACTACACAGAGTGAGTTCAGAGAAAGCAAATAAATGAGCAGGATGCAGGAGGAATTTACTTGGGAAAAAGATTAAAAGAGCTGAAGATTCCAAAGTTAGCTAAGGAATGGCAGAGGAGGGGCAGTCTACCGATGTTAGAAGGTTTGAATAGCAAGGAAGCAGAAGCACTTGTAGCACTGGATGTGCAAGAAATGCAACTAGGTGGAAGGCGGTGTATTCAAGAATGGCTTAATTTTGGCATAACACATAAAAAAAACTATGGTAGTCAGCAAGCAGAGCTGAGCTTGTTATGTCAGGATGACACCAGATTCTGGCTCTGGCATGTCCCCGCCTATTGCCAGAAGGTGTGTTATTGCCTAAAAGAAGTTCGGTTTGTCTGTCTGTCTGCAGTAGAACGTGATGTCTGCAGTCACCAAGCGAGCTTGTGGCCTCACCAGTCAATGCAAATAGCAACCTGCCATTGCCACACTATGTGACATGACCATGACACTGTGTCAGACAAACCACACGTTTTCACCCCAATGTTTTCATTTTGAAAAAACGTAGCTGAGGAATAAGCAGATCACAAACAATGAAACAGAGACTCAGCAGCCTGGGCAAAAACAATGGAGTGACAGATACGTGTATAACAGCCAGAGCTGGTATAGCTCTTCACCAAACTAAGCACATGAAGTTTCATTTTATGTACTCAATATGGCAAGGATGCTACATGTCACAAACTATCCTACATGAGTTACCAGCCAACACAGAAGAAAATAAGAATGCAGTGCAGACATCAAAGATTGTTATTGTACAGTATCACATAGTGTCTCTATAAACTGGTCAAGTTCACTGGAAATAAATAAGACAGAAAGAATGACTTTGGAGGCTGTTCCAAAAATTTACTCTTTAGGTGGTCAGAACTCTTCCCCTAAACCCCAGCCTAATTTTAATGATGTCTAGTTTAAATCATTTCCTTAGCTAACACAACCTTAGAGTTTAACTAGTTCCTTTTCTCTCCAGTATTTACTACTCCAATGTGTTCACCGGTAAGATAATTATCAGCATAAATACGGCCTCGTTTCTACAAGATGCTCCTTTATCTGATGTGTCCTAGGAGTCAGCCTGCCTTTTACACCGCCACTGCACTGGAAAAACACACTTACCCTGCGATTCACTAATATCCCAAAGTTAATTCTAATATGTCATTTCCCTCTGATCAACTCCAAGCATACTTAAGAAACTCTTCTTATTAGTTTTTGAGTGCATGGCTTTTCACATCATATTGCTCATTTTTATCCCTTTCTATCTCTTCAGTCCTCAAGGTCACCAAGTACTACTGCTGCTCTGGTCCTCCTCTACAATGATAGAACCTCCCAGCTTCACAGTCCTTCACACAGTCCTGTTTGTGTCAAGGTCATCACTGAATTTATTTAAAAAGATCAGTTTGAAGAGCAAACCTCACAAAACTCCACTATGGTAATTTCTGGCCGCCATTGCCTCTACCAGTTTCTTACCTACTTTGCAATTTCCCTACTAATCTCCACCTTTTCTAGTTAACCAACTCATATCCAGTGTACCAAGTATTTTACCAAGTACACCTACTGCATTTCTGTCATCTAATTCAGAGGATCCCAAGCTGTAGTATAGGTAGCAGCAGTGATATACTTCTTGTGTATGTACACAGCTGCAAACTGTTGCTGCTATCAGTTTCGAAAGCCTGGACAACCTGTTACCCTCACACGACCCTC